AGTTTTTGTTTGGTTTGAGTTTTTCCCATGTTTGAGCTCCAGGTTTTTTCTATGTTTTTGTGGGTTTGAGTTTTTCGCAGGTTCGGTGTTTGAGTTTTTTTCAGGATGTCGACCTCCCCAGGTGTTGGTTTCAATATTTCCTCGTTTTTTTGTTGGTTTGGGTTTTTTGGCCCGAAGCGGTCGTGGACCGCCTGTAGTCGCATTTCACGAACCTAATCCGTAGCCATTTTGGTTCAAGCAAAGCATATCACACCGGCAGGTATGATTACAATGCATCCTCAATCTCACCTTGAGACATTGGATTGTCCGGGATGTCAGGAATGCCCGCTGCGCCAGGCGTTCAGTTGGCTACTGGAGCAGCAGGACCTTCAATGGAGGGTGCTCCGCCGTGGGCTCTGGGAGTGCAGCAGGCGATCACCGGCTCGATGCGCGAGGAACTCAAACCCCTGCGGGAGGGCCTCCAATAGTGTAAGAATCGTCTTACTACAGTTGGGGATAAATGAAACTCCTTCGAGAAAAGGATGGATGAGTTGGAGGAACGCTTGTCATCAGGTTTGGCCACGGGGGGATAGAGGGGGTCTTACCTGGACATCAAAGGCTTCTGTGAGTTCAAGCAGGTGAAGGACCTCGGGGTGACCCGTTCCCAGGCGGCCATTCTCGTCGAGTCCCTCATTGATATCCTCCCGGAGGAGCTTCGAGACAAGGTGCAGCCCTTCGAGCTCAAGTACCCTCGGAACGACAACATCTGGATCCCTACTACACCTCGGTGCTTGCAGGAGATTGCAGGAGTTCATGAAGACACCTGAGCACCAACAGAGGCTGGGGAAGCAGTTGTGGATCACTATCGAACGCCATCCCGACATCCAGAAACACTACGAGGTGACGGGGAAGCTCTTGGACTTCACGGTGGACCTCGCAGATGCCACATTCACGGTCGAGGCCACGTGGTTCCCGGAATTCGAGGTTACCCTGAAGCAGCCGGCTGATGGTAACCAAGATCCCAGAACGATTACTATAGCTGGTGTCCGTTTGGGGGGCACCGTGGAGCGGAACCAGGCCGGATTTACGAGCTATTGGATTGACTTCGGCGGAGGAGGGGACCCAGAAACTCATCGCGTTCAAGCGCCGGTAGCGGGGCCTCGAGGGAGATTCGGGAGCCACAAAGGATGAGCTCTCGGTTGTGATTTTTAATACCTGTAAGAAGAATCCGGCCATGGGAGGATCAAATGCTTGAGCTTTGAAGCGACTGGGCTGGGGGGATTCTGTTATTTGCTTGCAGGAAGTACCAAAGTGGATCGATGGTTCTCGCCTTGGTGGGTATTTTGCTCATACTAGCCGATCGCACTCTGATCGCGAAGAGGGCAGGGATGGATTCGATTGTGGCTTCCTCATCCCGAGGGGCCTGAATCTGTGTACTCGCGAGGTGAGACATCGACCCTACTGGGGTGGAGTTTTGTTGCAAGGGATCTTGGTCTTCAGCGTCCACTTCCTGCGCGCGCCCTTCGAGGACACAGGGGGATCACGTGTGGGCGCGATTCGACGTGAGACACAACAATTTCATGATGCGTGTTGCTTCAATATGGTAAACTTAACTTCTTTATTATTGCTGGCTTTGATGCGAATGTGACGCTTCCGCCAAATTATGGCGGCCTCACAGATGCTAATGCCCTCCCAGCGTTGTCAAGCCATACGGCTTGTATGCAACATTCCACATTCTCTCGGATGGAGCAGTTCGGGCTGAGGGCGTTGAACACCTACTGGCAACACCGCGACGCCTCGGATCTATGGACATGTGGCTGGGCCCGGGCTCTACGCAGACGTTCACAATGCGTTTTTGTGGCGGTGGGCGGGGGCGTCCAGGGCGAGGCTTTCGTTGCGCGTGAGTGCCGCGTTCGGTAGAATGCTGTCCTCCGGAAGCGGATGGACCTCCGGATGGTGGAAGGGCATTTGCGGATCCAGCCCCTCATTCTGCAACCCCGGGCCCGCTCTCCAGCGGCCGTGAGAGCGTGGGGGCCCGCCGACGACAAGGCCCGCTTACAATTCCAGAGGAAATGCACGGGGCCCCAATTTCTGGCAGCCACCCTGGAGGGCGTGGATTCGGAGCTGCAACTGCTGGCACGGGACGTAGTGCAGAAGCAACCCGCGCCCCCAGCTCCAGGTGGAGCTCGTGCTCCGTGCTTGCCAGCCAATTTCACCGAAGATCCCGCCGGCAAGCTGATGTTCAAGCGCCGGCGTGCGTTGCAGGCGCGTCGTGCGAGGGAGAGGGCGCGCAGACAATTGCTGAAACTCGGACGCTGTGCGCGGGATTTTTCTGGCACGCCTATGTCTTTCGTGATTGATGGCACCATGGTGTACAACAGACAAGAGGGGTTGCAGGGTTTCCGATATTCTGGTCATCATCGACTTGGTGACGAGGCTAACCCGATCGAGTCCCAGAGGCTCCGCCTGAGTGAACTCCAATCGGAATTCTTAGCTGACCAGTTGGACGGCCGGAGGCGAGACAATTTCGAATTTTGGGACTTCCTTGAGGGCCGTTTTAGACTTTCCCGTGGCTCTGCGCCAGGAGTCGACGGTGGGCCTCCCGAGGTGTGCATGGCATTGCCATGGTTGGCCGTCTTGCATCTTTTCAGCTATTTTTCTGATCGCTCCCATTTGATGGACATTCACAGCAGCTTTCCATTCTGGAAGATTTTGGAGTTTATTGGATTGCCGAAGTGCCGCGTTGCGCGAACTTCCACTGACGTTGGCAGGATCTGCAAGGGCCCAGTGCTGCAGACATGGCTTATCCAGTCGAGCCTTCCTCGTGGTCGGCAACCACTCCGGCCCTCTCGCGTGCGTGCGTGCGGCTTCGAACGACTTTCGAATGTGACCATGGTGATCGGGTTGGTCCGAAAGCTTTTTTTCTCGCCGATGTCTGGGACCGCCCTCTTCTGGTCTCGTCCCAGGGCGGGGCAGCGGCCTTCGACTCCATGAAGCACCATCTCATTGCAGACGCTCTGCGCGCGCGGGGCGACGGCCCAG